TTTCGAAGACTTTTCATGGGAAGCTCTGTCACCTGTACGAATCAAAAAGCTGTTTGGAAACCAAATCCTTGGAAAATCCAAAACTTTTTTAGGAGAATTCGGTGCAAATTCAATGTTTTCTGCATTTTTCTTGAGAAAGCAATTTTCTACCACCTCGAAGGTCATGATTCCTGAAACTTTGCAATTTCCACTTGAAATAACCTTCTCATTGTATGAATGCAATGACCTCACATTGTGTGTGTTTACTCGCTCTCTCATCTCTCGGATCTCGTTTCTTCGCGCCGCATGTTGTCCCAATTATATCACACATCTCAACAACCATTCAACGACCTTGTCAATCATAATTCATCTAAATGTTATTGCTTTGATTGCCGATATCGATAAACTTATGCCGATTTGAATGCGATGGTGGTTGGGTTGAGAGAACTTGTTTGGCCCCAATCAAAGACAGCGCTTTATTTGTGGGGCAAAATCGAGGTAAAGTGGAGAAGTACGGTATGTTAATAGACGATTTTAGGTAATTTTTGGCATTTTCACTCAAATTCTGGCCTCCATTGTTGCGCAAAACTGTTATGGTCCCGATGAAGAAGGAAATACATTGACCAAAAACCCGAAAACTTATCTTGTAGAAACTTAATTTGACAAGCATGAACAAGTGCAATAGCATCAATATCGCTGAAAGCAGGCATGCGCCATCGAGTGTATTGCACACCGTGCACGCGCTACTTCACGACGTATAATAGAACCTGCTCATTTTTAGTGATCACCTTTTGAGCTTGCTCTCTGGCCAATTCACAGGGCGAGGAAAAATTTTAACAAGTGTTTACAAAGCACCCTAGCAACCATAGGTTTGGTAAAGGACCTAAAAAATTCCAATGCTTTGGGTTTATCACGGATTTGCAAACAAATTTTCAAAATATATGTAATGGGGCGATTCGACATGCTGATTGTGATGCAGTACACATCCCTGACTGCTATTGCATCCTGAAGGTAGGTAGCAGTGGCGTACCGAGGGGGGGGCGCCCCCCCCCCCGAGAATGGGTCGCGAAATTTTTGAAAGCTACTTATATGGGTTATAAAAATGTGCAAGTGACTTGTTTATTCTTGTAAATAATTAAAATAATTTTTAAACATTTTTAAAAATTCAAATTAGCCTTGTAAAAAAATTTTTTCCGGGGGCGTGGCTGGTGCCACGCCCCTTTTTCCGGATTTTAGGGGTCGGGGACCCGCAAAAATTTTGATAAGCACCCCAAAAAAATTTTCGGAGGCCTTAGCCACGCACCTTCATTAGAAAATTTTTTTGTCGCGCCCCCCCCCCCCCGAGCCGAAATCCTGGGTACGCCACTGGTAGGTAGGTATAAGTAAGAAGCTGAATAATACGGACTTGCCTCAGAATTTGTGCACTGGGGTAATTAGGCATGCTGATCACAAGTTTCTACTCATCACTACCTTTCTGGGATTACAATAGGTGTACGTACGAGCTAGAAGTCGTGAAAACAGTGGTTACAGATTGCTACCGTATCAACTTCCCACAGTAGACATACCGTAACCTCCCAAATACCACTAACAGAAAATGCCATCAACATCAAATACCAACTTAGACTTTGACCGGAACTGAGCAGAACGGTTGAGAAAGTGCCGGGTTCCCTGCGAAGTTTCGTAAACGTGCTACGGAAGTTCCGAAGAATGCGAACTACAACAGCTAAACAGAGATTAGAACATTAGTCTACTGACTGTCCAAGTCCTGCGGAAGTACTGGCAAGTCAGGGTTCGCTGCGGAACCGCTGGCACTCTTCGGAAGTTTCGCAGCCTTTTGCAATAAGCCCTGCGGAAGTTCTCCTTTTCAACCAATCTGGCGTGAAAATCCTGCGGAAGCTCCTTCCTTGACGTTTCCACTTCTGATAGTGAACAAAATCTTGCGGAACCGCTGCGAATTTTGCTTGTCCTGCGGAAGTTCCAATGAATTGACTGAGCATAGGATAACCGTAATCAGCCAATGGATCACCCCAATAGACAATTTTCCAGCTATCTTGAAAAATTTGAATTCTTTTCGTTGTTCTCCGGAAGTATGTTGTTTTGTAAACAGTTGCGCTTGATTTCCTACTAGACGATACGTGTAAGCCCATAGAACACGAAGGACTACCTCGAGTGTAGAAGACCAGACGAAAACACGCAAAAACGAAAAAGTTTGCTTTTTCAGTTGACCTTCGGCGAGATCATTACCTTTGAAAGATATTTCCTCGTATGAGGTCGCATTTCTTGCGAATTTCCTGTTCTAATGTGAAAACCACCGTGGAGCCATTCACAAATTGTCGCGCGCTCGCCACATATGCGCGTGCGCGCGTCCTTGAATGGCGGCGCGACGGCGATGGCGACGGCGACGGTCGCGGTCATCAACTAGCGTCGCGCAGCACTCGTCTTGGTTGTCTCATTTACCAACGTGCACTTCACCTTGCTCGACTCGACCATTACTGAAGTTCTTCGAGTTGCTGTGCGCTCTATGATTGAATTTTCGCCAAATTCTGAATTGTTGATGCTTCAGTACTCATGAGGGCATGTGTTTCTTGGATTACTGTAAACTGACAAGTTCATTATTGCAATCGTCACGCACTATTGATGAAAAAGGATCTCTTGATGTCGTGCGTTTTAGTCTCTGTATTATAAAAGCTTTTCACATACCTAAAGTATTCAAATACTGGGTTAGCACATAAGTAATGCAACTTTTTGTAGGACTTTTGTCTTTTTGAGCGTAGCGCATTTCCGGCATTGTGAGGATTATAATGTAAATTGCAAGTGCAGACATTTTTGCCGAATTTTGCCATCTTATGTAAGGGTACGGTAAGTTTACAGTACAATGGGAAATTATTTAGATTGCGTTAGATTTTGCTTAAAGGCAGTACATCGGCTGAGACCCGTGACAAAACAAGGTCACATGGTAGGAGCCCCCATGTGGAACCTATCGGCCAAAGTCCGATCTTTCTCTGCCACTTTTAACCCCCGAAATTTCAATGCGAAAGCAGCGCTCATCTCCTATCCTCTCCAAACCCGCCCACCCCATGGACGAGTGAACGCGAAGCCCGTCATGGCGAAGACGCAGAGTCGTTGCGAGACCTCATGCTCATAGTCTTGAGGCTGGCGCTCTGACCGCGGAAGTCACTCGTCCATGGGGTGGGCGGGTTCGGAGAGGACAGGAGATGAGCGCTGCTTTCGCTTTGAAATTTCGGGGGTTAGAAGTGGCAGAAAAAGATCGGACTTTGGCCGATAGGTTCCATATGGGGGCTCCCACCCTGTGACCTTGTTTTGTCACGGGTCTCATTCTGCCGATGTACTGCCTTTAAGCTTGGCCTATGGGGGTTATTCGATATGCTAATCACAAAAATGAAACCTGTTTCGCATGAAAAGCCTTCTTTCGTAAGGCCAAGGAACGTTTTTATTTTAGCGACAAATGAATATGTTTTTCTCATTCACCGTACTGGATTCCTTATTGGGCAACGGTTTAGCAAATTCTGGGGTTTCGCCAGCTAGTTACGGACAGATGGCCCTCCAAACCTTACACATTTGACTTTTTCAACTTCTCAAAGCGCCTTATCTTGATATGTCTTCAAATTTCACTTCTTTACTGGTTCTAATTTGTCAACTTTCAGTTGTTGCCCATAATTCCTTTTTCTATGTCTGATTCTACGGCTTCATGTTTAACCCCGTGAATCCTCTATTTTCAAGAGTTTTCGAAAAATGCTTAAATTTTTTCTACTACGTTATCAAAGTCAAATGATTTGCACAGACTTGTAGCTTACGTCACAGCCTCCTTGATGTCAGAAATTGAGAGTGCTACCTTAAAGAAAAAATTTACGGGAAAAGTTGCGAAACTTATGTGCCAACCTAATACAATGGGACCTGACCGTAAGCTTAGTTTCACTTTTCAGAACAATCTTTCCTTCATTATCCTTTCACTATTGATTTTGCAGGACTGTACAGTTTGAGTTTTTCTATTGTTTTAATAAACTAATGCATCCTCTAATTACCTGTTCGCAAACTTCTGCGATCTTTGATCTACCAAAATCTTTGTTGAGCATTACTTGTAGTTGTCGCAGTTTCCGATAATAATTGCGAGCAAAATCCTATAATTGGACTTTGGACTTTTGTAGTACCTCATAATTCGTAAAATTATGAGGCAGACGGTGCAGTATAATTAGCAATAATAAGGTTTTATGAATTACTTCTACCTAGTATTAAATAACAAGTAGCATTGCTTGTCTGTGTGTGTTTTTTTATTGCTTCGAAACAAGTAAAGATAAATTACAGGTGATGCACCATTGGGCTTTGCGAAAATATGAAATTCAACAAATTTTTAATCATGGGATTTTTGCAGCATTGTTAGGCCATCTTGCCCATAGCTTTTCCCTATTTTATCTCTTTCCGCACTTATGTCCCATTAGTATGCTATACTTCCTTTCCACCTTTGAATTTTTGAATAATTCAAAAGTTTTGTGGAAAGAAATTTTTTTGCCTCTAATCCCTCCTTTCTCAGAAGTGAGTTATAAGCCACGAGGATTTTCATGCACCCCACAAATTTTTTGAAGGTAATCGCTCGGCTTTTCTCCTCCTCCCTCTCCTTCCCCCCCCCCCCTGCTCGCCAAACCGCAATTGTACTCATACTTCCTTCTATCCTGTAGGGATAGATTGCGAAAAGCTTGTACAAGTGCCTTTAGCTTGTTAGCGTTTGATTGAATTGGATTGGCAGCTGAAGGCGGGGCTTTGTGGCCTATTAGGGCCGTCTGTGTCTCACTCGCGCGCGTACTCTTTGATCATTCTCCAGCCTTAACCAGGTCTCAAAGCCCCTCCTTCCAGCCGCCAATCCAGTTGAATCAAAGAGGCTGTTTTTGAAACTATTAGCAATTATTACACATGATTCATTTTGCTTTACTTTCATTCCTTCGCTAATTATACTCATTCCTCTTTTTTTTCGTTTTCATTGGAAGTGTTTCATTACCACCATCTCTTCAGATGTCTACATAGAGGCTCCTTCCCCGGCTTCGACGCTGGGCTTCGTAGAATAGTTCACGATTCGGTGTTCATATATCCTCTACGTAATGCTTCCTTTGTACAAAAGTCGACGAAAAGTACGGAAATTTCTTCAATATCTGCTTCTTTTGCTCGGATTTCTACTGATATGGTGCACGTTGACGATTGTTATTCTCTATATACAAGATGCGGTAGGTTTTTTGTCGAAGTTTTGCAAAAATTTTATACTTTATCGATTTTTCTATCTTTTTTATCTGCTGTAGAAGTGGAACCACAAAAATACGTAAAATCTTGGTATTTTCTTGATAATCAGTCAGATAATCACTTATTTTGTTTTTTTTTCTACCATTCTTATAGGTTCCACAAAAATACACATCAAATATTAGGTTGGCACGAAAGTTCTTGCGTAATTCAAACAAAATTCAATAACTTTTCAAAGACTAAATCTAAATTCACTTGTATGCTAAAAATATTAGAAGAATTACGCTTCATGATGAATGTTTAAGTATAAGATTCCGTGAGCTGGACATCAAGAACGAAGCTTTCGAATATGGGGCTTCAAATTTTGCGATTTTGAGTTTGGTGGCAGAAAATCGCAGAGTGCCACTAGCTAGCCGAAAAAAATCTGTAGAACGTATTTACACAACAAAAATCCATATGTGATTTTGGAAGGCTTTGATCTTGGACGTTGAAGCAAGAACAAAAAATTCGAGAAATATGTCATTTTGCGGAAAAAAATCCTCTCATGTCCGCAGTTTTCCGGCCAAAACACTTTTTTACAATCTAGAAAACGTCGCAAGGCTCTAAATAGGCACTATGTCTAATTTCTGGTTGCAAACTGTGCTTCTGTGTAAAAATTAGTGCGATAAGGGGATTTGTTTTCTGAAATGAGAAATTTCACAAACTTTTTGTTTTCGCATTTCCAGGCGAGATCAAAGCCTGCTGAAATAACGTATGGACTTTTGCTGTGTGAGTAAATTCTACAGATTTTTTTTCGGCTAGCTAGCGGCCCTCAGCGATTTTCTGCCACCAAACTCAAAATCGCAAAATTTGAAGCCCCTTATTTGAGAGCTTCGTTCTCGATGGATAGCTCATGGATTGTTGTGCTTGAACTTCCGTCATGGAGCGTGAGACTTCTAGTATTTTTAGCATACAAGATTATGAATTTAGGTTTAGTCTTTGAAAAGTTATTGAATTTTGTTTGAATTACGCAAGAACTTTCGTGCCAACCTAATATTTTCCAAAAAATAGTTTTTCTTGTATTAGAAACATTAGAAACATTGCCAACACGAATCCTGAAATGTAGTGGGAACCAAGACATACGTATATTTAAATTTTCTGAAGAATAAATAATTCATAATTTTCCATAAATTTTACCAGTTATTTTCGAGGAATCGAGGACATACGCATATCTAAATTCTCTAAAAATAAATAAATCATAGTTTCTTTTTATAAATTTTACTAGTTATTTTTGAGTTTTTCGGGTGAATTGCTGGAATTGAAAAATTACAAAATTAAAATTAAAATTTCTCTACATTTTTCTAAAGCTAAGAGTCTTCGATATTTTCTCCTTATAATTTCGTTTGTTGTTTACGAAAAATGCAGGTTGAATGCTTGTTGATGATTTTTAAGGATGAAATGATGTGAAAATCAAGGCAATACTGCTCTATATAGCAAAAGTTTGTAAAAAAAATTAATAGGGTGTCATTAGCTATTATTTTAGTTTTCGAACCCAACAACACCCCGGAAAGAAGATCATCGAAACAGCAGAGCTGTACAGGTTGTTGTCGGTCATTATAATGGCAATCTACCGCAGGAGAAATTAAGAAACCTGACTGATGGTTGGTTTATCAAAATTAAATTTTTATCTGATTAAATCTCATAATTGCGTTTTCTAGAAGAAATCAACGCCAATAATTTCAATCCGATTGGTTGGGGTGAAGGCGGCAAGGCAGTGAGATTGTCAAGAGACGAAGAAATTCTATCCGATGAGACATTTTCTATAAATCAGGTAAATTTAATATTTTTCAACCCGTAGAAATTGTCAGTATTAGAATTTCTTTTCAAAAAAGATTTTTGCTTCAAGAAAACTTAGCGCTTTTTGTGCAACCCAAACCAAAAAAAATTTCTATCTCTTCTGGGTTTCAAGCCAAATTCCCACTAAAAATTCTTGATAAATATTGATTTTTCGGCTAGTAGAAAATTGTCAACTGTGAATCCAAAGAAGATTTTTAATCAAACAAGGCTTGAGCCTTTTTATGATGCGATCAAAGTCTCCAAAAATGCTCTTTCCTTACTTTCCTGACTTTTGCGCAAATCCTCTATCCCAAATTCCTGACGCAAGTGGTCCTGGAACGACATGCAAGAGCATCGCAAAAAGGCCAGTTGTTTGCTCTTTCGAGAGCGATCCAAAATGGCGAAATTGTTTGGGTCATAACCTTTTGCTTCACGAATTTTGCTGTTTTCTCGTAAATTTTTCCAGTTATTTTTGAGTTTTTCGGGTGCATTGCTAGAAATAAAAAAAAATTAAAATTACTTTCTCCCACCCGAAGATGTTCTGAAATCCGAAGGGCAGAAACGGGTAGGGGAACGAACTCCGCCGGTTTGAGCCTGCCTTCGCTGGCAACTGGTCCTTTTGCTGTATTGTTGCATGTCGTTGCAGGACCAGTAGTCCGCGGAGACGGTTCAAACTGGCGGAATTCGTTCGCTTGACCGTCTGAAACATGTTTAGCGCATTACTCCAGTCCGGGCCACCGTATTTCGCGGCGGAAACTCCCTCTCGAAGCTGCATATCCGCGGACTTTCGTGCCGTGATTCACCATAGAAAGGCCTCGAAGCGATCAGCCCCCCCCCCCCGCTAGGTCTCATCTGGCTCCATTTCAGTTTAGTCTATTCATCAGTGACCGTATCGCCCTGAACAGATCGTTGGGTGACTACCGTAAGCCATCTTGCCGCATCAAGAAATACAGAAGTACGTCTTTACACACTCTTGGTTGCTGCCACTTTTGATCTACCTGGGTAGTTTAGATGTTTCCGAGCTACCGACAACATCCGTAATAATCGTCTACCATAACGAAGCCTATTCCACGCTTTTACGCACTGTACAAAGTGTAGTCGACCGATCTCCACGTGCTGTTCTGGCTGAAGTCATACTTGTTGATGATTATTCAAATAGAAGTGGGATTTACCCTTATTAGATACCTATTGTTAAAAAATATTCTTTTGTAGCTTTTCTGAAATATCCTGTGCTGGACGAGGCGGTGAAAATTTATCCGGTACCAGTGAAAATTATAAGAACAAAACAACGAGTAGGACTGATAAGAGCAAGGCTCATGGGAGCGCAGGTAGGTTATCTATCCCCTCGCCCCCCTCAAATCTTAAGGCTAAATTCTGTGCTTTTAGGAAGCTGAAGGCGAAGTGTTAACATTCCTTGATTCGCACTGTGAATGCACTGAAGGTTGGCTGGAACCATTACTGGACAGGATTAGGGATGACCGGTCAGTTTATACTCCATTTGAGCGATTGAAGCAGCTTTACACTTTTTTGAGAATGTGATGATTAGGGTAGACAGGTTAATCCAACTACTCAAACACTGGACGGAACTTCCGCAGAGAAAGTTGAAGTTCCGCCGGGTTACCGAGGCAACATCATACAAGGCAACGCATTTAAAACCCTGCGGAAGTACTGGCATGACAAACTGCTGCGAAACCGCCGGCGTTTTCGGAAGTTTCGCAGCGCTCTGCAAAAGTCCTGCGAAAGTCCCCATTCTTACCGCTTCCACTTTTGCAATAGCAAGCAAACCTGCGGAACCGCCGCCGAATTTTGCTTATCCTGCGGAAGTCCCGGTGGATTGTCTGAGTATATGATTAGAACCTGAAGAAATTGTTGATCTCTTGCAGGTAGTTCAATGAATTCTAGGAGCGTCATACAATTTTTAAAAAAATTATTGTTGAGCAGAAGTTTAGTAGTCCAACCGCAGGCATAAAAACAAATTGGCGTTTTCAAGCAAGCCGAAGTTTAGCATGGATTAGACCACAACTGTCTGTTTCGTAGTATGTGTGATTTACTGCCTATAGAAGCTCTGCGATATCAGCTACGATTCGTTTTCGTGTGTTTTTGTGTGTTTTATGAAACTAATAATTTTAGTATTATTTGGTGCACTGAAACCTTTATGACTCCTCTTTCCGCCAGTGGCAGTGTTCAGAAAAATGGCTAATTTTGATTCCCCGAAGATCTTACTTGTACAATTTCTAGCAGATATCTCACTGAGTTAAAGCCAATCCTTTAATACCAAAAAATTGTGAAAGACAAACCGAAACAAGAAAGTTATGGACAAGAAATATTGTTCACGATTTTTAAGGACATAGTATCAGGTTGAACGAAAGTTTGTTCGCACCATTTCAAAAAATTCGTTACATCGTTCCACTTTGATGTTTTTGCAAGATTACAATTTTCTTAGGACATAAAAATCATGCACATTCCAAAAGCTCCATAATGGTTTTACTGCTCCCTGATTGCAGAACAAAAACCACAGAACCAACTGAGTTTCCGTGATTTTTAGCAGACCCGTCAATCCAAAAACTATGAAAAAAATCAGTGTTAGCATAAGTTTTGGGAAAATCTCTCGAAAGAGCAATGTTTATACTGATTGGGCTTCTCTATGAAAAATTATGATTTTCAAAAACAAACTCGAAAATCAGTTTTGTCATTTTATTCTAGCACCTCACATTCCACAAACAAGCTTGATCAACACCTCTGCTCAGTTAGAAAGAGCACTTTGGAAGTCAGTTTAGTATGTTTTGGGATTTATTGCATAGTTTCCATCTATTAGTGAGCTTGCTTAAAATTATCGGAGCTGGGATGGCTTCATTTTTCTGTTTTATTTTATTTTACTTTATTCATTACACTCTTGGCGTTCCTTACGAACAAAAACACGCAATTATACATAAAAATCTAATCATATAATCTTAATATATATATATATATATATATCTTAAGAAAACTTATAGTCTTAATCCTTATCTTATCTTATCTTTATCCTTGCAAAGAGAAATTAATGAGGCCTTCAAGGTGGTTTTAGAAAGTACATAGTGGGTAGTTTTGATAGGATTGAAATCTTGCAGAAACATCGCAACGGAACGAAGTAACGATTATTTGAATTTGGTGCAAACAAATTCGGTTTAATCCAATACATATTTAATGTTTTATTTATAGTTTACACTAGTTGCGGAAAGAGGGTAACATATGTGAGAATGGAATTTTTTAAAATTTGTTGAGGTTTCCATAGCAGGAAAACAAATATGATCATTTTCTGTGCTAGCATCTAGTACTGTCAAAATCAATAGTCTCTTGCTAAAGTTAGCAAAAAGATGAGTGTAATGCGCCATCAATCATTTCTTTTACGAAACCCACTAATAATAGCAAAAAGGCAAACAATTTATGTGGTTTTTGCAGAAAAGCTGTCGTATGTCCGGTTATTGACGTAATAAACGATCGTACATTTCAATACCAAAAAGGAATTGACATGTTTCGCGGTGGTTTCAACTGGAACCTTCAGTTCAGGTATGGTGACGCAAGAAAAACGAGAAAAGAGATACGTTTCGATAATTTGTGCAAACGTTCGCGTCTTTTTTTTTGCAGATGGTACGCAATGCCGACCGAAATGGCTAAACAACGACTACAGGATCCGAGCTCACCGATACCGTAAGCGCTTTTTTGCGAGAGTGAGATTACTAACGGCGCGTAATGGATTTTGTCCGTTTTTGCAGATCACCAACAATGGCTGGCGGCCTGTTTAGTATAGATCGTCATTACTTTGAAGAACTTGGAACGTACGATCATGGAATGGATATTTGGGGTGGCGAGAATCTGGAAATATCTTTTCGAGTGAGCGCATAAGCCTTTTTCCCGAGTATTGCTTATTGGATCATCTTCTTCAAAAACACATCTGCGAGAATCTTATCTGAAGAGTTGGTTTTTTTTTTAAATTTGCGTATTTGGGCCACATCGAAGAAGGTCAACTTATCAAGTTGGATACCTATTAGCTACCAAGCTGGATACCTTGATGTTACATAAAAATTTTTAAAATGTCAAAAACGAAATAAACACAACATAATCATTCTTTGCTGAATCACCCAAAAAGGCGTAGCAAGCGAAAAAACTCCATTAAAATTGAATTTCAAATAAGCGGGGGCTGCTGCAGTGCAGCAATTTTTTTCTTATTTTATTTCACATTTACAATTACACTCAGCATCTGAAAAAAAAGAAAAAATTATCAGTTAGGTTATTTTCAACCTTTGCTTACCTCATCATTTAGCTATTGAACAGCATTTACTTCTTTTAAAATTGTTGAATCACAGTGCGCCAGAATATCGATAGAATAAATAAGTTAATAATCCCCGTATTCGTTTTGTTAAAAAGAATGGCTCAATTTATCTGAATTCTTAAACCCACTGAGCACTTTTGATCTTTGGAATTGACTGAGCATAGCTTTTCATCTGAAGTACAGCTTGCCTTGGATCTTAATGATCAATACTCACAAGGGAACCGTGTCGAGTCGAAGCGCCCTTTCTAGATGAGACCCATACTGCTTTGAAGAGTATTAAGCGATGATTCCAAATCTGCCTTCCAAATCTGCCAAGCGCCTCTGGACGCCGAGTTATGACGTTCTTCGGAACGAAAAATGAATGCAGAATTTAGGTAAAATTGATTGTTACAATCTTTCCAGCGCTCAGATAAAGCAATGTTAAGTATTAGCATATAAAATAAAATGTATCCATTGCATAAACAGCTCTGATACTCGACACTGGACCATTTGAGCAAATTTGGGCGATTTTGCTTCTTGCTTTTGCGTTCAATTTTTTGACCCTAAAAATGAGCATGACTCGGCGTCCAGAGGCGCTTGGCAGATTTGGAAAGCAGATTTGGAATCATCGATAATGCTCTTTAAAGCAGTATGGGTCCCATCTGGAAAGGCCACTTCGACTCGACACGGTTCCCTTGTCAGTAATTTTTGTTTGAAATGAATTAATTTTAGATTTGGCAATGCGGTGGACGAGTGGAGATTCTTCCATGCTCACATGTTGGCCATATATTCCGGCATGTATCTCCACATGACGTTCCAGGGAGTTCAAGTGTCAAGGTCAGCATCACATGCCATCTCCTTTTCTTGATGCTTCCTATATTTTGAGGATCGTACGAGTTTTGCGGAGATAACAGCTGACAATTGTCTTTCTAGGTTCTTGATAGCAACATGGTACGTGTAGCAGAAGTGTGGATGGACGAATGGAAGTACCTGTTTTACAAAGTAGCACCACGTAAGGAAATGATTATGGCATACTTTACACTCTTTCAAGAGAAACGTTATGTGTGATTCACGGCTCAAGTACTGAAAGTCAAAACTGGTGTTCTAATCTAAGCCTCCACCTGAGCAGGGATGCCTTGAAAAAATTCAAGCCTTAAATGAACCTCATGATAATCTGGATCTCGTATTTAGACATTGCCCACTATATTACTTGAGTTATAACATCCTGCAATTAATCTTCATATACTTGTAAATGTTTGAAATAATTTTGAAAAAAAATTCATCTTACCTTCGTAAAAAAATTTCGGAGGTGCTGGCTACGGCCACGCCCCTTTTTTGAGGCCTGATGTCTTGAGAAAAATTTTCTTACGTTTTTCTGCTACATTGCCTTTTCTTGGAGATTAACATGTGTTTGCAACAGTGGAAATAAAAATGAATAGAATGAAAAACTTCGTTCTATATTGAAGATGTAATAAAACTCATTTTTGTAATCAGGGACTTTGTTTCACTCTTGGAGCTCGGGGCTAAAATGAATGGACGTTAATATGTATTATTACATATCAGATCATGCAAGTATATCAGGATCGGCGAGGCAGCTCAAATTTTCCAATTTTCAATTAGACTTTTTAGACTTTTTCCTAAGCCTGACAATTTTCGGTTACAGAAACCGCAAAACTTCGAACCAAAGTCGATATGAGCGAACGAATGGAACTTCGACGTAGACTGCATTGTAAAAGCTTTCGATGGTATCTCGAAAACGTCTTCACCGACCACCACTTGCCAATGGATGGAGATTTCTTTGGAAGGGTACGTAAATCAAAGATTTTTTATTATATGGAGTTCTGAGTGCTTTAGATACATTTCCCAAAAGAGACAGTCAATACTACCTGCTTAGCTTGGGGTCTAGCATCATCTGGTATCAAAAAAGTTACGCAAAACCCTTGTAAAGAGGGGAACGACAGAACTCAGGTGAATTCATGGACCAGAATGATTTTTTCCCTTTCAGATTGCCATAGGGTCCAAACCCTATTGTTTGGTAAACCGACCTGGTGAACCGGGTACGAAGAAACATCGCCTAGATGTGTCGCCTTGCACGTTAGGATTCGATCATTGGCAGGTGCGTTGCATCAATTTTTCGAATCGTAACGTGCAGGGGTCGCATATAGGGTTACAATACGACCCGCCCATTAAATCATATTTTTATATTTTTTGGCTTATGTTATTTGTTTTGATTTCAGTTCTGGATCTATAGCACGGATGGAAGGCTAAAATCTGATGAGCACATGTGTCTTTCGGCTACTCAAGTCGTTCACACCAGCAATGAATGGACGGTACAGCTGAAGGAATGTGCTGGTTATGACATGGAGTACTGGGACTACAATCGACGGGTAAGTTATACCGTAACCATTAAGAAGTTAGTAATGAAATGTAGGGACCCAGGGGGGGGGGGGGCGAGGGGAGGGATGCGCGATGGAAGAAATAGGGATTAACTGATCACAGTCCCATCACAGTCCCGGGATGCCCATTTTTGGACTTCTTTGCTTGTTTGAAATAACCCCAAAAAAATCTCAAGAGCGCCTGTCATCCCCTCTCCCTCTCCCCCCTTCCCTGCTCCGTCTATATCGAACTACCATTGTTGGAAGATATGGTAATAATTTGATTACTTTTTTTCAAAGCGAAACCAAAACAAAAAAACAGGTTTTTCCTCCCTACCAGTTCATTTTGACTTATGACTTTCTACTTATGTACAAGATTTTCAAAGGCTTCATCACGGTTTAACAGAAACAACTTCACGTGATTTTTTAGAAAAAAAAACTCGGACGTCGCATAATCGTCTCTTCCAGTTCTTTTTATTTCAGAGACAAACCTTCATACATAGGAAGAGCGGTTATTGTCTCACTCAGCGAGGTCTTGGCATGGAAACGTTGAATGATCTATCACCGCCTACTTTGTCATATTGTGGTCGAGGAGTGGAAGAACAGGTGCTCATTCTCAAAAATAATACCTAGCTTATTACAATCCCTTATAAGCACTGTTATAAAAATTATTTGCATCTCAGTCATACATCAAAAATTATTAATTTTTTTATTCTAAACATCGAACAAGCGAAGCTTTTGAATATTCTCTAATACCCTGATACATTGGAATAGTAGTAGACTTTAGATGGATTTTTAAATATCAAAAATATTTTAGTTAGGGATCAGCTCGAAAGGTCGCATTTGATCGATTTTAAATGAATAGAGCTCTTAAAACCACTGTTTATCAAGTCGGGACGCTTGAGAACCAGTGGCAATCAGCATGAGAAGACTGGACTGCTGCCATTGGCTCGCGCGTTTCCTGGCACGCACCCAACGAGCAGTGAGGACTATGCGGGTTCAAAGATGTTCCATCACAAGGAAATCAACATCGAACATTGCTGGGACCTTTTTCTGATGCACTTCTCTTTTCTCAATAATATCTGCTGTCGATTCAAATTTTTTGAAAAATTGAACAGCTAATAAATTCTCAAATTAATTCTTGGAGAGCTAATAAAATTTTTATCATTATTCGATTATGTAATCAAAACCAACAAACTGATTCTATTCCAGATGTGGACGTTGAAGTCGGTGGAATGGAGACCGGACACGTTATAAAGGCATCTCTGAAGAAGTTTTGTTGACAACATAGTGCAACTTTTTCCTTTTTGTTTACCCTGTTGTTTACATATGTTTATTCAGCATTTAATCGACAGCTTAGCATCTTTAATCGTAAGCTAGTACACAATGATTCTTTATCAACAGCATTAACTACTTGCCATTAAATTACGACTTTAAAAATTTCTAGCCATGGCTTGCCTTATTTTACTCGTGGGTTTAATGTATCGGTGGTGAAACGATTGTGATGATGTTTTGTGTTTTTTATATTGTTCTGGGTTCTCAGAGATGTTGTTTTCCTACATTTGACGAGTTTAAATTTTTAAAAAATTCTCTTTGAGGGCCCTGTAAGTTCAGTATGCCTTAATTCCGTGCCTTCGAGGGCTCAAATCGACTTTTGAAATTTTACCGCCTTTAAACCCTAATCACTTCCACACTTGGCTGTTGTAAATTTCCCAAAGCCGTTTTGAATCCTTCAGTCACTCAGCCATAACACTAAACAATGTACTTAATATTGTGATTTTTTGACCTTTTGCCCTGTTTGCCTTGATTTACCCCTCCTTTGCCCACAAATGTTGACAGATCGAGTTGTAACCTGCTCTAGATCTGACTTTCTGAGTCATTTGAACGACGGTTCAAATGTCTAATTTCTTTTTCGTGTTTTGTCCCATTTTTGTGCCTTTACTAATTGCATTTACTTACCGTATCTCGTTCGATGGAAGATGTAGCAGCAGGCTACATAGAGAAACGCTTTATTCTGACGCCAACATTGACACTTTACCACCTTATCAGTGAATAAATTTTATACAGTATTCTTTTACACGTATGTCAAGTCGCATATAACTCAGTATGCGTACTGGGCACTTCGCGCTTTACCCGACGGCTTGTAGGGTTAGAACCTGCTCAATTCCAAGTGAATTCGCTTTTTTCCTTGCCTTTGATTGCTTGGATACGTATTATCTGTTAGTAGCGCACACATCTATGGTCTTATGCTGGAAAATTTTCTGAGGAGTTACTAGTAAGGGTGTCGTCGGCTGTCCCGCATAGTGCGCAGACTTTATTAAAGATTGAAGGATACATAAGTGGTTAACTATCGAAACAACAATTCTTTTCAAAAAAGTAGTTTCGGCTCATTAACTACAGTTTTTAAAATAGTAGAGTATGATCAAATCTAGTAGTTGATCTGATTGGTTGTGCTTGTAATTCATAATTCACAAACAGTCGCTAGTGGCCGAGACTGCTGTAGCTTTTATGTTGGAATGAAAGTTTTATCGCATCAACTTTGAACTGTTTCAACTTCTGAATTTCTCAGCGTAGATGCTTGGTCTTATTTTATATAAAAGACCAAATTGTGATTTTCGCAAAATTTTTTAGAGGCTTTTTATCGAGCAACCAAAATTCCGATTCCTGTGTTTTGTCGAAAGAATCTGAAATTTGCAATCAAAACTGGGACACTCAGTACTGCAAAATTTATTATTATTACCCGCCCTTTTCGACCTGAAAAGTTATGCCGACAGCACCACATTTTGAAGCGAAGATATGATTTTCTACAAAAGGAGCAAATTTGGTTATTTTCGCCTTTTTTTCTCGAAAATCATTACTTTTTAACGACACGTTCAATCAAAAAATTAAAACAATCTTTGCTTGATCAAAAGCACGAAACGTAACAATAAATCCGACTGGTCGGATTTTTGGTGCAAGTTCGATTTTTTAGACAAAACACAAAATGATCGAAGTTCAATAAATTATTTTTCTCTCAACTCCATGCAGTGTGCGCTCCAAAAAAGCCGCTAACAAAATTTTGTAGAGAGCATGATCGTTGGAAAAAGAAGTTATGAATTTTTGAAACCGATACTATAAACTCATTCTGACTTAATATTTTTGAACACTCATACACTAAGTTAGCTCGTAGAATGAATAATAATAATCGCATAACTTCTGTATCGCGTTCGTATGCTTTTCCTGATGGTATTCCGGACCATTTCAATTTCAAAGCAAATTGGCGTGAAATTTGATAACATGAATCATGAAAAGTTGAAGTTGCAAACTGCAAATTTTTAGGAACTTGACCTTATACCTTATACCTTTCAGGAACTTTACCTTATATAACAGCATTGTGTTATTTCATTTGCGCGAAAACAAAGAAAATATAAGCAGGCCTTGAAATGTGAGCAGGCCATGCGTAAACAAATTTGGTAGTGTTTGGCGCAGTGCGTGTGGGCGCTGACACTGCGCAACGGATTCTAGGATCGATTCCCGCGCTGCGCTGTTCGCATCCAAATGATGAAACTAAATAGCGTGAGCTGGCAGCTGAGATCGCTAAATGTCATAGTTACACTGATGGGTGTTTTAGGCAATATTGTAAACATTTATATGGGTAATGTGAAATTCGAGAAAAAAAGTTTCTAGAACAAGAAATTGAGGTAAATATTATCTCAATTAAGGTTCAGTCGTTGACCATTTTCTAAGAGATTTCAACAGTATCAAATTTGCTTCAAACTTCATTTTGCTGCATCAAATTAATTTTCGGTCAAAAAATTGCTCAAATGAGGAGAAAAACAATCACGAAAAAAATGTTGATGTACTTCAGGAGGTCGCAAGTTTGCGTAACTCGCTTCGCTTAATCTTACCACTACTAGTTTTCGGCAATTCAGCACAGATTTGAACACCACCACGCAATTGTTTCGTTGGAGAAAGTTTCTCTGCAAAAAGAATAACTTTTCCCACAAAAAACTCAAGTGCTGACTTACGAGTGACGAGGGCTCTTATTTTCAAGATGGTCAACTGTTGATCGGCTCCATCTTCTAGTACAACAAAAGCTTTCGGAACTTGACCGCTCTCGGGGTGATCGATGCCAATTACTGCGGCCTCTTTGACAGATGGATGTGTTAGAATGACGTCCTCCTAAAATAATTCTATATTTATTATGATTTATACTCAAATTTCAAATTATTTCATGTCATACTGGACTATGCAAGCTTAATCCCTTACTCCACTTCAAATTTGGAGCTGTTTGAGATGAATTAATGAGTTTTTTGTTTTCCTTGTTGCTTCTTTTATTGGTTGTTTTAGATGTGACACTCCTTGTGCGTATCAAGTTATAAAAAATAATAAATGATTGTAAAAGCACAATGAAATCATCTAAACGATCAACGATTTCTTGATTATGTATTATCATCATAAATAGCTTTCCCCAGGGTTATTTGTCAGAAATATTAGGTTGTCCCGAAAGTTTTGTTCGATTTTTTCATCGGTCCCTAAAACTTGCAGAATACCAACTCACGGATGGCTCAATTACTATTTAATTCAGATTCTTATTCTCTTTTTTATACCTATATTTGCTCTCTAATCTACCCTGTCTTTGCAATCTTATCGCCATGGATTTTTGAGCAGCTTAGCAGTTACGCCAGATCTTTCCTGTATCTCAAAATTTTTTTATCCCGATGTTTTCACAGAGCGCTGGACTATTATGTAGAGCAAACCTTTGGCTACATTGTATTTATTTTAGATTACATTGATCACGTTTACCAAGTCCGTTATAAATTTATGTAATAAAAACCGCGGCTTTTTGATAACGTTTACCGCGTGAAAGTACCGAAAATCCAAAAAGCTGCTTTTTCAAAGCAAATCAAACTTGGTTTATGTTGCATAAATAATGTTTAATAAGAATCATGTTTCAATTCACAGAAATTTCAAAAGCTTTCGTGTATTTGCTGCAGTTGCGTGTTTCACGACTTGGCCAAAAATCGAGACCTCCAAAAAAATAATTTTTCAAGGTGACAACAGACTAGGAAAATATGAAAACACCTCCTTGTAGCCCGAGAATTGCTCCTGATCCATACTCAACCTTCCCCGAAACTTTGCAATGAAATTTTTTAAAATTAGCCTAACTTTGAAGAGATAAAATTGACGGGTGGAGAATTTTGGCAATTATCAAAAAAATCGTACGAGATTGTGGATCGAAAATGTATTTTTAAGGAAGAGAATTAAAAGCGGCATCGAATGCATGTTGGAACTCATTCAATTCTTTACTGTGGTTTTATAGTAGTTTGAAAAAGCGGACAAAACTTTCGGGACAACCTAATATAATTTCTCTTAACTTTAACTTTAATGCATTATGAAATATCTTTTAATCTTCCTTTTTCCACATCAAACGGCTTTAGTCAAAAGAAATTAGACATTATAGATGTGAATATAATCTTCATAAGACTCTACTATTTCAGTACATTATTCAGAACTCATTAATCATTATGACCTCTCCAACCTACCAGCTCTGATGGCGAAACCTGTATGCCGTTGACTTTTATGAGATCCTTCACGCGACCTATTACGTAGTAAAAGCCATCAACATCGTAGTACATAAGGTCCCCTGCAACTTTTTTTTCGTCAGAAAATATCTGTAGAGTCAAGCGAGTTTAACTCACCAGTTCTCAACCATGCTTCCTCATCGATGACGTTCTCCTCTTCACAGGTCATGTTAAAATAGCCAAGCATTACAGTGGGAGACCTGATAAAGAGTTCGCCAGTTTTGTTTGGTTCTTTTATAGTTTCTCCCGTCTCGTTTATCAGCTAAAATAAGGTGAGAAATGATTAGGATAAAAAAGGATCCCTTACGACTTACTTTGGCCTCAAAGCCTGGAAGTAGTTTCCCACAGCTACCCAAATGCTTGTCATCAAGTAGTCCAAGCGGTGTAATATGGCTAAGGACCACAATTTCTGTCATTCCATAGCCTCAATTCTTATGCACTTTAAAAACATGAATGAAAGAATTCCACTTTTTATCACCGCTTCTTGCTCCTACTCAAGAAGGGTTATAATTACTACTTTTCATACAACACAGAGAACTTCCGCAGCGTAAAGAGATTTGCAGCGATGGCACAAAATTTTGGTCTACTATCGCGGATTTTCAACAAAAACGGGAACTTCCGCAGGAATTTGACGTCAAAGTGCGTGAAAACGGAAACATCTGCAATACTTCCCATAAAGGACTGTGGAGTATACTTCTGTTTGATTAATTTTCCTTTGAAAAGGCAGAGCGTCGAAACTTTTTTGAGAAGAAATTTTACCTTGGATCAAGTTCTTCACTGATGGAAATCTGTTCAGAAATTTTTCGCTAAGTTCTTTTCCCAGTGAGCTTGAGCCACATAGTACATTACGCAGTGAAGATACATCATAACCTTCCGTCTCCACGCGACATAGAAATGATACAATAGAAGGTACCAGATTAAGAGTGTCCACCTGAAGAAGTGGACATGTAGTCGAAAAATCAATTTTTGAAAACAAACTGGTCCCGAAAAGATTTTGAACTAAATTCCCACTTTTGTCGGTAAGCAAGTAATCTAATTTCTTCTGCAAGGCGGTGACAGAAAGAACTTTAAATAAAGGAAAATGGTGTTAAACGCATTCTTCAATTTTTTGAATGCTTTCCCAATCATTGGCAAGCTATCCTTGGAAATCTAGAAAAGGGCGTGGCTGCGGCCAAAGCTAACTGCTCCTTAAAAAATTTGTGAAACTATCTGGTTATACTTGATAATCAAGTAGAATATATGTGGTTTGTAACTCAAGTTTAAATTCTCTTCTCGTCTCTACCCCTCCCCTTAGACCGGTCATACAATTTTTTTGGTCCGTCTGGTGAATGATCCTTGACCTTTTTCAGAAGAAAAAACATTTTTATAACTTTCTAAGTTTCTAATGTACCTCATATATCTGTACATACTCCAACATTGTGACTGGATGGAATGTCTTCATAATAATCATATGACATCCTTCCAAGAGACAATAAAGTAGAGCCCAAAATCCAGAAGCATGGTAGAATGGCAGAACCGCAATAGTTTTTCGTCTACATTCAGATACCAGCTCGTCGAACAATGCCCTAGATCAATACTATTAAATATTTTTAGCCTGAAAAAGAATGAAATTAACTTCTTTAATATGGCAGTTGCTGAGCTGTAGTTCCGATGGGTTAGCAATACACATTTCGGTAGACCACCGGTTCCGCTCGAAAGTGGCATCAGAATAGTATCGTCGAGTTCAATCGGTATTTCTTTCAAAAATTCCAGAAACTTTTCGTCATAGGCAGGCAAATCGCGACTGATCATAGGTAAGTTTGTGTCATCCACACTTTCGGAAGTACAAATTATGAAAATCTGGAAGAAAGTTTAGTGAAGGGAAAAACAACATGACGCGAACCGTAATGAAGAAGTGATGAAATGTGAAAATAACAAAAATCTGCGAGTTATCGTATAAAAACTCTAGGTATTGACCAGGAACTTCGATTTCTCTAAATTAAGGAAAAATTCATAAATACAGCTCAACGTTTTTTGTTTGGGTATTTTCAGTTTTCCAAAGTTTACAAAGAGAGTCAAAGAGGATTTCAGCTCAACATTTATTTTCAACGGCATGATGAATATCCTAAAGAATTTTTAAGGAATCTAAAATATTACTTTCAGTAAATTTTTGGCTTAAATTCGATTTTTCAAAGAAGTAAGAGATCAGTGAGAAAATCCAGCTCAACTGTTCAATTCACGGCATTTTTGATTTTTCAAGATATTTACAAATGAAGTAAAAAAGTTCGTAGAAATAATTCACGTCAATATTTTCTCTTGATTTGACGGGATTACAAATTTTCCGAAGAATTAACAAAGGGTAGAAATTCCTAAACATAATTCGCCTCAACATTTTTTGATGTAACAGCTTGATTTTCAAAAAATGAAATTAAGGGTTCACGTGATTATCGGCTTAGAATTTTTTTTGATTGAACGCCATTTTAGACTTTCCAAAAATTAATAAAGAATGTAAAAAAGCTTATAAAAAATCCATTCAGCTCGATATTATTCAATTTGATGGCTTACAGCTTTTTTAAAGATTTTGAAAGGGAATTTAAAGTTTATGAAAAGATTCAGCTCATTTCTTGATTGAGCGGTCTCTCAATTTTCGAAAGAAGAAGCTCATAAAAGAGAAGTTAGGTTTGGAAAGAACCAATTCAACATTTTTTGATTCAACGGCTATAATTTCATTTTGCTTTACTATCTTTACAAGAGTTTGGGAATTACTGGCATAAAGCCATTTTTTGTACCTTGTCTTTCTCGATAGCTTCACCTATTTTCGATACATCTTTCTCTTGACATACGACCGCAGCAGCGTCACATTTTCTTGCAGTATACCGTATTTCCTCTAAAAATTTATTTCAAAATTCGGAAATTCTCCTATGCAATGTACCAGCAGTGGACTCTTCAGAAATGCCCGTCAAAGTGCAGCCAATCAGAGCGCCGCCCAGAAATATGATAGGATACCAAGAGCAGTTTGGAAGTATGACAAGAATGTTATCTCCTGAAATTTGTGGTGTATCTGAAAGTTAAAAGACAGCGATGCAAACCTTGATGAATTTCATTGTCGTTTAGAAAAGATGCAAGCCGATATGATAAATCGTAAATTTCGTTGAATGTGAGATCGCCATCGTCATCAGTCTGAAATTCGAATATTAGACAGCTTATTTGCTAGGATGGATGAAAAGGCTCACAGTTCGATTTTTTCTGGAGATTAAACAAATGTAAACATAACTGATAAAATCATTTTGAGGAGTAACATGTTAATGATGAAATTATGCTAAAAAAACTATTTTTGAAACATGCACAATAGTTACTGTGAAAGCTCTAAATACCATGCTATAGAAGAAGTCTGACTTTTTACTGGAATATGAATTCTGTTATATAACGGCCTCAGAAATACATCATAAACTCTTTTGCAACTAATAATTTACTTTTCTCTGTTGTACGAACGATTGGTAAACTAATTCTAAACTCAAAAATTATTTATAACATGTACAGCTGAGCCGCTGATTCGGATGGAAAAGACGGCCTTCGACGTATTAATCTTGACGAAACTGTTGGGAGTCCTTGACTTTGTTCAAAATGATTTTCTCGCGATCGGATTTTGATATCTGGAGAGGGTACTTTACAAGGATTCGAAAAACTACCGAAAATTCAAATTTGCTCCTATATAAATGGTTTTTCAATGAATTAGCCCGGCAGATTGTCGCGCCATTTAATGAAATCTTCGAATAAAAGTAAATTTTGAACACTTAGTGGTTTTTTGAATGCAAAGATTCGTTTTCAAATATCAATCAAAAGCAAATCATTTTGAACAAAGTTATGGATTCTCGACGGTTTCGCCAAGATTAATACGTTGAAGGCCGTGTTTTCCACCCGAATAAGCGGCTTAGTTGTATATACAAAGAAGGTCCGTTTAGTCATAATGGCCTTTTACATGACTCCTAAATCACTTTGAAGAGCAATAAAAGTTGTTTCTAAATCCGTCTTCATTATGTGGCAAACGCTTGTGGATCCGAGTTATGAGCGTTCGGGAGTTAGAAAATTGAGTGCGCAACTCGAACAAAATTCGTCTAGGATTGCCCAAATCATCCTCTGTCATATTGGAGCACTTCAATCATTAGGTAACTTTGTCTAATATAGTCACTCAACACTGCTTTAAGCCTTGGGAAAGCGTAACAGTTGATTTTACCTAGACTCTGAGTTCATTTGCTCTCGACTTACAAGGAAAGGATACTCGGTCACCGTGGCCATTTGGAATGCGATGTATACTGTAAAATGCATTCTGAAACGCTGATTCCAATTCTGTGCTCAATATCTGGGAAACGATCTTCTGAAAGAAGTTATGAACTTTTCTTCGAAGGAAATTTGAGTACTTTTGTGTAATATTTGCTCCGTGACGAAGGCGGTCGCCCAAATAGGTTGAAAGCATACAAGGCTAACGCGCACGCGGTGCGCGAGCAATTTTCAACCACAGGTCGCGCGTACGCTTCCGTGAGCGACCGCTGACCGAGCGTGCGCGCGCCCTGTGGTTGACAATTGCCCGCGCGCTGCAGCTTCGCATCTTTCAACTTATTTGGGCGAACGCCTTCGTCTTGGAGCAGATATTAGGTAAAATCACCAAATTTGTTCTGGGTTACCTTGAAGCTATTGAAGAGAATCCTAAAAGGAATACCGTTGTGATATGCCCATGTAAATCATATTCAGCATTTGAAAAGGAAAGAAAATATTTTATTGATCATTTTGACACTCCGCAGTAACGCCGCTTATCCATGGAAAAATATTCATAACTCCATTCAGGTTATCGTTTCGCAGATATGGTAGATAGTATTCGAATCAGCATTAGAAGGCGCATTTTTTGATGTACAAATCATTATGAACGGCCGCGGTGAGTATCTTTCCTTATTAGGCACTTGGCACGTAATGTGTTAGATTCGTCAGCGTTCAATGCTTTCTAAAGCGGTATAAAACTCTTTGAAAAGGTCACTCTGACTGAACGGACCTTGTTAGTATAATGCCTTCGTGAAATTGAAGAAGCTGCCTTACAAATTTATGGTGCTTCATCGTGTTTTGAAAATACTGTTTGGCTACAAAGCGGCGCTTGTCAGGTGGCCAGCAATGGCTAATCTATCAAAGCGATTTACGGTATACAGTAGTCGACTTCACAAAATGCACGATAGCTACGCACAAGTACATGTAATACAGTGCAAGGCAGGGCACTAATTTTTCATCTACCCAAACCGACTTTGAATAACCCCCTCTTGAACAATGGGTATTACTCGATTGAAACATATAAGACGAAAGATGTCGTAACCATTTGCTCCTCGAAAAACAATGTATTAAAGGTTATCATAAATTGCTTTTGACTGATTGAGAAACATTGAGAATTGATAGTGAACGTTGATTACCTGAGTATAAGTAACTATCTAGTGCTTATTAGCCTTGAGTCTGATTTTTCTACGTAAAGTCTGAAGCAGAGAACTACATTAGCAACTTTTCGACCATATGCTGAGCTTTGAATGTTGAGAATTTTCAGGTGTCATTATAATCAGAAACATTTCTTTTGAGCCAGCCCCTGCATCTATATTCTAGATTGTGGAGCTTATAAAACTGTGCTTGTTATGAATAAAATAATAACAGTACAGAAAAAGAGGTAAATCGTGCAAAAACACCATCAAAACAGAAGTGTTACAATTGAAATGTAGTGACTACCAATAATATACAGTATACATACCAGAGCAATAAGGTCTCCGTGTTCTTTGCATTTATCTAGGATCTGACGATGAAATAGTATCTCAGGATAATCAGTCATGACGATTCCTACTGTCTCTCCGCAACGGATGTCTCGAATGGTTCGATGAGATTGGCCTCTATCGAGAATCTCGTGCAGCTAATTTCATTGTACAAGTCAAGTAACCGAGCCTGCACAGTTAGATCTATTAAGTTCTGCTCATGAAAGATGGAGTGAAGTCATCCATATATACGAGGGATAAAAGCTCCTGATGCTCTATCTTTTCTTTCTTCTTTTTTGAACTTTTGATCCATGTTTATCTGAACTTTCAAGGTTTATTGTTTCTACTGCTATGCTGGCATAGATTTGAGCTATTATTCAATTCATAGCATCAATTTCTAGTATCAGAACGTATGAGAGACTGTTATGATGAACGTTCTTACTAGTCTGGTAACCTATGTTATTTTTCGAATATGCTACACTAGCAAGCAACTCCGACTCCTCAAGCCCTGTTAATAAAATTATGTAATCAGTATGCACACTTAACGCCCTGTTGCCAAACTCCCAGCCTCGCAGGTAGACATTTGCAGAAAATTGATGTAATCGATATCGATATATAAAATAGCCTAAGGGACCCGCCCCCACCGCGAAGTGTTGTGTACTAAGTTTGGTCCGGATCGGTTCAGAAATAAAAATTTCTATTCGGAACATACGTGCACACACATACACACAGATGTACATAGGACAAACAGCTTTATGTATGATATTTTTGTAGGCCCATACGGCATTCAAAGATAATAAGGTTCACAATCATTCAAAATTATCGCCATCCTTCCTTACTGAAGAGTTCCCGGAATGTCATAGAAACAACACAGTACTCCGTCTGAGAATACGAACGAACAGTATCCCTAGGGCATAGTTATAATGAACTAGCTGGCTTACCCGGCTCCGCCGTATCCGGACCAAACTTGGCACACATACACTTCGGGCCCCGGCGGGTGTCACAGTCCACTTTTCGTTATCGATCGATGTCGATTTTACCGATTTTTATCGATTTTTTTGCAGAGTTCACCTACAGGGCTAGGAGTTGGCACAGGGGGGGAAGTGAGCATGGGGATTCCGAATACAACATTAGTTTTCAGGATCGTCCATTACTTTTATCGATTTTATCGATTTTTTTTGTAAAGTTTGACCTGCGGGGCTGGGAGTTTGCACAGGGGGGTAATCGAGCATGCTGATTACGAACACAATATTAGTTTTTAGGATCGTCCATTACTTTTATCGATTTTATCGATTTTTTTTTGTAAAGTTTGACCTGCGGGGCTGGGAGTTTGCACAGGGGGTAATCGAGCATGCAGATTACGAACACAATATTAGTTTTTAAGATTGTCTATTACTTTTATCGATTTTATCGATTTTTTGAAAATTTGAGCTAGGGGGCTGGAATTTGGCACAGGGGTGTTCGAGCATGCTGATCACCCCCCTTGGGGATGATCAGCATGCTCGATTACCCCCCTGTGCCAACTCCCAGCCCCCTAGCTCAAACTTTGCAAAAAAATCGATAAAATCGATAAAAGTAATCGATAATCCTGAAAACCAATATTGTATTCGGAATCCCCATGCTCGATTACCCCCCTGTGTGAACTCCCAGCCCCGTAGCTCAAACTTTGCAAAAAAATCGATAAAATCGATAAGAGTAATCGATAATCCTGAAAACCAATATTGTATTCGGAATCCCCATGCTCGACTACCCCCCTGTGCCAACTCCCAGCCCCGTAGCTCAAACTTTGCAAAAAAATCGATAAAATCGATAAAAGTAATCGATAATCCTGAAAACCAATATTGTATTCGGAATCCCCATGCTCGATTACCCCCCTGTGCCAACTCCCAGCCCCGTAGGTGAACTCAGCAAAAAAATCGATAAAAATCGATAAAATCGATATCGATCGATGACGAAAAGTAGCCTATGACACCCGCCGGGGCCCATAGTGTATGTGTGCCAAGTTTGGTCCGGATCGGTTCAGAAATGGAATTTTCTATTCGGAACATACGTACAGACATACAGACAGACAGACATACAGACAGACAGACAGACAGACAAACAGACATTCAGCTTTATATATAAGATACGTAAATCTTTATTACTAATATTATTACCAACACTAGTCGGTAGTCGCCCTTATATAAAAATGATTCATCAAGCTATTACTAGTGCGTGTTCATGTATTCGGTGATGACAATCTTGGCTTAACCACTATGACAGAATAGCGTTTTATAAGCATGTAGGCTTTTGATGATTTCAAAACGTTCCATTACGATAGGGGTAACAAATCTATTGACTAAAACTTCAAATGAGAACTTCGAGGTTAAAAGCGACAGGAGGTCGCACTTTTGACATAAGGTGGTTTAAACATTTTCATGGCATACTTTCGCAAGCACAGATTACGAAGAGTGAGCAACAATACAGAATAACAGTTACACATCCTGTAACAGTGCGTTTCGGAGGCTATATTGTACAACTGATAGCCGGCTGCACAATGTATGCGTAACGTATAAAGGATAAACGATAAAGGATTCGGCGTCTTTAATACCCTCTGAGGGCATGCGCCGAACGCACACACTAACTTCATAGTCGAAGAGGCAATTGTATGCGTGCGAGCCAATTACAGTGACTTGCGGGGGCCAGCCGTTTCCGAGTTAGTGCTTTTATCCTCCTAGATTACTCTGGTACCAGTTTACCGGTCCCGGAGGGCAGAGCGCTTGGCTGGCCTAGGGGCGGGGATCGAACTTGGGTTCGATCTGGTCATAGCGTCGCCTCATACCACTACGCCACTCGTCTCCCTTCCGTCTCGTCCACGGTATGCGTAACGTATAAACTTTATAATTGTATAAAGAAAGCTGAATATGTTTTTCTGTTCTTTGTTTTTGTGTGTCTGTGTGTTTTCGTAGGTATGCTCTAAATAGAAAAATCCACTCTTGAAACGATCCGGAACAAACTTTGCCACAACTTCGGGGCGGGGGCGAGTGCTCTGGGTGCGCTTCCGCTACCGATCGAAGTCGGTTTTAGTGAATCTACGAAAATTTTCGGCTACGGGGCTGGGTGCTGGCACGGGGGCGGGGGGTGAATGAGCATACTGATTAGGGATACAAGATCAATTTTCGCAGTTATCGATTAATCTCTGTCGATTTTATCGGCTTTCTTTTTTTGAATATCGCAAACTTGAGCTATTAGGTTGGGAGTTGGCACAGGAGGGGAAAGTGGGGGGGGGGGGGAGGGGTGGAGTGTAAATGATCGTGCTGACTACGAATACATGGTGGAGGAGGAGGTTCAAAAGTGGGAAAAGGACAGGAGAATGTTGTGCAAAAGCAGCAAGTGCAAAGTTAATCATTGTTGTGTCAAAGTTATCTGCTTTTAAAAAGAAGTTAGAATGAGAAGTATGAAGCATACAAATCTCACAAAAGCACCCTATCCACCAAATCATAAAGGCGTTTTTCAAAATGCAAAATCTTGAAAGGAAGCCGAGAAAAAGTTTTAGGTGTACAGTGCAAAAGCATTTCGAAAGTTGCTCTAATCTGCACTTTCATTGGCCGTTGCTAGCTGGAGGATAGATAAAAGAAAACATGTGTGCACAAAGTGTTTCGGATTTACTTCTCTTCACTCCGTCTCTTCGCTATAACCAGACCAGGCTCTGCTTCTGTAAGTCGAATTCGACTCCTTTTTTGAATGATCTGGCTCATGCGGGGTGAGTGCGTTTCAGCAAATTGTATCTTGCTCCAATTTCTTGGAATGGCACAAAAAAAATAAATTGTAGTCTACTGAATCGTTTCTAAATTCACAGTACAGTACAGAAAAACAAGATAAGACAACATTTTATTCGCATGAGTGGTACTACCAAACACAAGCAGTTGGCAATTCCTGTAATAAGAGCAACATTTGGTACATAAATGAAACCACATTTTCTAAATTTTCATACAAGCATGAACATCGCACTCACTGTGGAACAAGGTAAGTCCAACACAAGAAATAATATGCGAAGAAGTTGATGGAACGGAGCACTGTTTCATCAACTTCTTGCTCAATTACTTTTCGTGTTGCTGTTGTTCAAAAAACATTCTTTTTATTGCCGATAAAAGTGCTCATGTGAAGACTTTTACAAAACAGTTGGTCAGCCTATCTGCACCTCAGCCACTGCATTTTCGAATAACTGAACATGATTTCGCAAACAAGACAAAAAGTTTTTTAAACTACGCGCTACGGTGTGCAGTTCAACTTAATGAAAACGATACCAGTTACTAATTGCTAAAATAATGTAAAGCAACGAAATGTCACTCACTTCATAAAAAATTTTTCTTCGTCCAAACTACCAATAATTACCTTCAAATCCGGTGCCCTGCAAAATACATATTTTGTGCCAGAAAATGATGATGGAATTCCTTTCTCAGTATTTCGATCGCAAATCTTGGAAATATTCATTAGGCTATTTTTTCATTGATGTGCTGCGCTTCTATTCCATGATAATAGAATCTAGTGTGTTTTTGGAATTTATAGGAGTTTGAGATAAGTACTGGTTTAGTTGTTACAACGAGAAGCGCAGCTTCTGCTAATCTTGGATGTAGCCTTAGAGTCACAATGTGAAATATGGCAAAATCAGCTCAACAATATTGAAAATTGTGAAAAGTGTAATTGAATTTTTGGTGCAATCTTCTGAAAAAACTCACCCCGAATCTTTCGTCAGAATTAGAACCCGACGGAGCATTTTTTACCCAGCGTTTGGCACGCACCTGGAATGGCACAGCTTATCCACTACAAATTCGAAGAAAACTTTTTGTCATTTCTTCATCAAATGAACGTTAAATAATGGTACCTAATGAGTGGTGAAATGTAAGTGCAGCTCCAAGTCACTGGTCAACTAACTCTCCATATCCTCAAGATTTTGTGTAACACGAAATTTTGTTACAGTGTGCGTATTGGAGTTTCTACTAAGACAATTGTTATTCACTCTTACCTCTGCCTGTTTCTTAATGAAGCTCGCTTGAGCTGACAGAGCCATCAGCACCAGCTAAAAATATGCGCAAATTTATAGAAATGCAAGAAAGGCACGAAATACGCTTACCATCAGAACGAGCAGGAACTTCATGTTTCCTCAAGAATGAGTGTGACTACTGTGACTACTACTGACTGTACCCTGGTTTATATTGTTAGCTTTGGCTGAACATAAAAGCTGAAGTAACATATACTCTCTCCATCTCTAACAATAATATAATTTCGCTGATTAAATTGTGTTTGAACAAATAGCACTTTTCGATGAAATTTGTGTACTGTGTGCACATCCTTCTAAATATCAAATAACGTTCGAAATTCAAGGCCTCTTGTCCGAACAGCTTTACTTGTCTTACCAGTACACGATCATTGCCTTTAGTTCTATCAGTTTAGGCTCTTTCTGGAAGCTTTCCTGACCAATTTTCGTGCACTATGCATAATCTACAATCACAGTTTTGTTGTAGACTGACTGTTTCCAGCAACATTTCACAGGTTTGTTATGAACTTATTTCATACCTACTATGTCTTACTCACGACAGATTGTTTGCTTATGTCGAAGAGCAAATCAACATTAAGTAAGACTGCACTTTTAAGACTACCTCTCTATCGATTGTATACATTACTGCCATTGTGTTTAACTATAATATAAATTCTCTAGTTAAATTGGGTCTGAACCAACAGCACTTTCGATAAAATCTGTACATTGCATATCTACTATATCTTACTCACATCAGATTGTTTGCTTCCGACAAAGGGCAAATTAACATTATGTAAAACAGCACTTTTAAGACCACCTCTCAATCGATTACATACATTATCATTCATTGGGTTTTTTGGGAAATGATACATTAATAATCATTGCTTTAAAAAATTCCTTTCTGATGAGCACTACATAGCACATTTGACCAGCAACCAAAGCTTTTAGGAAAACTTCCACCTTTACATGGGGGAAAGCAAAGGAACTGAACAGAGCTCTGAAAAAACGAGGAAGCACATCTTAAACTAAAAAGACTTTTAAATGCAAAAGGACAGATTTTTATACAGTTATTCAAAGATGGGGTATGAAAACGGAAACAACTTTTATGACAACTTTGAGACAACCCATTCAAGTACATAGGATTAGAACGTTCTTAAGTCGGTAAGAAACTTTCCGGACATTGCCTTTAGATAAAGATTTTGCTTCGATTTGCACTAGGGCATGCAGTACACCACTGAGTAGTGCAAAGCAAACAATACAAGGCCATACTAATCACATGACCTTTGAATGCTATGAAGATAGAGTCGAAAATTCGAAGACGTAGAATTTTGATAAGGTTTAGATCTCCACCTTCTTTAACACATTCACAACAATACGACCCACCGGTGGGTCGTACGTGTCCTGCCGTTTCGGGCAATACGATCTACCGGTGGGGCATAAGATTGCTGATGCTCTAGCTTTGCCATACGGTGGAATTCCACGGGGTTCTGGCACATGATTGGGACATCTTGGCAAAGCTCTAGCCAGAGTAGTCTTTGTTCGGGAACTGTAAAGTAATGTTACAATTGGTATACCGTAGGTAGAGGTAAGGCGGCACAGATTTTAGCTCAAATTTTCCTCAGAGTGGTGCTGTTCTTGAAAATTTGAGTTTACGTGCATGAACATACATGGAGGACACGATACTGATGTCAGCCCAACAGAAATTGTCAATTTTATTGATTTCATTGATTTTTCGCTTTCTTCATCCCAGGAAGCTCAAACCTTACATATATATGTTTTCTAGCATGCTGAAAACGAAAATAATAGTCTCAAGTTCTGATACCGCCTTCTTATATCAGTTTCTTGATTCTTATGAAAATTCTACCGTACTGCTACCGTAGTCCCGCTGTGGGAAAGTAGTGAACAAAGTGGGCGCTATAATCGTGATCAGCACGTGAAATAATCCCAAAACACAATTTTTCATCAAAATCCATGGTGTAGAGTCCGTAGAGAATGACTACTAATCTTACCGTCCGTCTACTGCCAAAAACTGAAATAAGTCGTATTTTGGTAATCAGCGCCTTTGATAACCCTTGGGGGGAAATTCTCGGAGATATGTTTTGAATTTCTTCCAAAAAGACTACCATTTCGGACAATACGACCCACGGGTGGGTCACAAGTTTATCAAAGCGAAGAAGGCTCTGGTCCGAAACGGCAGTAATCGAGAAATCGGCCTTGTCGTGAATGTGTTATGCCCTATGATACTTACAAATGCTCAGATATAGAGCAGATATGACACACGTATATATCGGTGGCTGTCTGAGGGGAGTGGGGAGGGGAGAGCGGCCGCTCTCGAGAATGAGTCGCGAAATTCTTAAACTAACCTACATGGGTTATAAAAATGTGCGAATGACTTGTTTATTCTGGAAATTAATACAATTTCTTAAATAAGATTCAAATTATCTGTGTAATAAATTTTTTTGGGGGACGTGGCTACCGCCACGCCCCCTTTTTCTACATTTCAGGGGTTATCGACCCGCAAAAATGTTGAGAACCACCCCGAAAATTTTTTCGGAGTGCGTGGTTAATGCCACGCACCTTCATTTGAATAAGAATTTTTGCCGGGCTCAGTAGGGAATCCGAGCTTGATTAGCAAAAAAAAGGAGGTAATCGAAAAGTGGCAAACTTTGTCCCTATTAATCCTAAGCATTCCGCTGCATAGGTATAAGCTACATACAGTGAGAGTACAACTAAAAATGTTCGCTTGCGTAGACGCATTACAACCGCGAGTTTTAGCAGTTTCAACGTGAAAAAGTCCGAAAACTTTTTTACCAACCTAATATGCTTATTTGAGCTGCATTCGAAGTCGTTTATCATACTATTCTTCGTGATTTAGCACGCGATAAAGACGTTTTATATGAGTCACAGGTACAATGTGGATAGTCAGGAAGCATGTCAAATAAATCGACATCTTTTAAAAGAATTTCAATAGGCAGTTATTCTAACTTTTTTTTAAACTTCAGCTTTATTTTCCTACAGCACATAAATCTTTCTTCAAGTTCAACTGGGAAGTCGCGGAAGCTATGATGCGTGCCGAAAATTCCTCCAAACTACTACATATTAGAGATGAGCAACTAAAATATATCCAAGTGACTGCATAGGGCCTAGGCTTTCCAAGCAGGGTAGTGTTATTGTAGCATTGCTTACTATAAACTAATGTACCTGTGGAAGCGATGACTAGGCCTTGCCCTTCCGTTTCTAACTCCTCTGTTGAGCACGTAAGCGAACTGCATAGAAATGGATACAAACGATGTTCCGGTGCATGTCGATGATTTATCGGTGTCAAAAATGGTGTAAATAAGCAGGTTGTTGATAAAAGGAAGCAGCAGGCGGTAAAAATCGTAGACCTGCAACTTTTGTGCACGGGGCTATCGGACGAGTTGATTGCGACAACTGCGTTCGCTGTGCAAGGTACGAGCCCCTTTTCATGGATTTGTGAAATCTGAAGGCCTAGAAAGCGTGAAAAGGATACATTTATACACTATAGCTTGCCATAACTGCACAAAAAGGCCTTGTTCAGCAAACGAGCATAATATTCGTTATTAGTATGCTTAAGGAATTCCTTTAGACAAAATTAAAGAGTTGAGTTCTTGAGATATCTACCACATATACATCGTAAAGTGAGATAATGATGCTAGCATGCTCAGTTGATATGATATTTATGCTCAGCGCACCCTAAATAACCTAAGATGAAGGTTCGCGCCAAGTTCTGAATTTTAACCTTTATCGTAACTCCGTCATAGAACGTTAATCTATCAAAAAAATTGATATCTCGTGAACAGCTCGCATAACAACTCTTTAAAAGAAGCTTTAACGAAATACGCGGATTTTACTTTACCAGTGCGTCACCTCCGCTTCGCGGAGGTTCGCACTGGCTCTCCTATCCGTGTGCCTTTCTCATGCTCGCTCAATAATGACTATAAAACTTACCATGCGATGCTGAACATCACAAATGAATCGTAAATAACTGTTCACTCTTGAAGCATCTCCATGTGAGGTCGGTTTTTTCGATGAAAAGCAGACTTTTTGAGCATTTTTTGGACTGGAATCCATGGGGCGCAGATTTACTTGGCAGGAAAATCATGGCTTTGCACATACGGACAAAAAGACACGCTAAGCGCTCTATTTTAAGTCATGATGACACTTTTGGGTGTTTCCCTTTCCTTTGAGACTATCAAGTCGCAGTTTGATTCAAGGCAGCTTTGCAGGAGCTCAAGTCGTCACGGTTCCATTCATCAATCAAAATTTCATCACAATTCATCGCGAATGTAGCGTGGGCGTTTGTAGAAAATCGAAAATTACGAATCGTGCAGTATCTATGCCAAAAACCACTTGTGTACTTCTCCACTCAAATAATGAAAAAGCTCTGAAACCCACCGGATGATGCTGAACATCACGGATTACTCGTAAACAACTGCTCATTCTCACGGTATTTCCATGTAAGATCGGTAATTTTCGGAGAGAAGAACCTTTCTGCAGAAGAATAAATGCGAATTTGAATGAGTTACTGCATTTATTTGAACATCAACGTTCTCATAATAATAGTATACACCATGAGCTACCTCTCTATGCAAAAATCTTTCCAACTTATCAGGTAAAGCCTTAAATCGATTATTTACTCATTCAGTCCTTTTTGGCGCTCCTCTAGCAGAAGAAGAGACCTTTTGGACATTTTTTGGACCAAAATTCATGCCTCCCAAATTTACTTGTCAAAGAGATACATGACGTTGCAAAAAGTCGAATCAGCGGCCCAGTTTTGCATGCCAAAAGCCGAGCGGAGCCAAACGCCATTTTCGAAGAACCCGCGCATCGGATCCGTTCGCCATTGCCAAGGGTGAGCATGGGCGCTGCCAGCGGACACTGTGCAAAAATTCAGCTCAAGACATTTGCTGGAACTCGCTCCATGAATTTCGTGACAGACAGACATACAGACATATACGCACAAAAAGACAGACGCTTAACGGCTTATTATAAGTCATGATGATTCAACCAATGTAGAATAGCGTTGAACAGCCGGTTAGCGGCAGCTGCCACCGCGGTATGAAGATGGCACTTTATGGTCGGAAAGTAAAAAGTGTCGT